CGACATTGGGGTGGTGATACACGACCTGATTACCGCTACAGACATTCCATCATTGAGCCTCCCCATCACCACGTCGCCATCACGGGTGGCTAGGTGTCTGACGGGAGCGGACGGAGCGGCCGGACGGATCGGGCACTCAGACTATGCGGCCCACTGTCTGAGCGGTATTACTGTGCACAAGCGTGAACTGCGCTTTGGAGAAGTGTGCCAAGCGGCCAGCATTAACCTCTGGATCGTCCACACGGGATATCATGCGCGGAGTGACTGAGGCGCATCACGCGGACTGCGTGAGTCTCACTGCCTAGACAATGGTTCGGCGTGTGCTCGATACAATAGCGCAAGCTTACCGCATCGGCGATTTTGTGTCTGCGAAATAGAAGCGTAAATATGTGTTTTCTTCGCCACATAACCACAACATTACACAACACATGAAACACATCAAATGCGCCGGATGCTTTTATCGTTTTCTTTTTCTTCTAACGGTTCGGCCGGCAGGCACCTCCGTTGGACACATGTCACCTGGCGTCGCGCGTAAGGATGCGCGCTATGCAGCTACCCGGAGCCCGGCACCTGCGTTACAAACAGCTCAGAACGAACGACGACCCATCGGCGGCGGCCGCATTAAAGCCTCTGATGGCGTTTCGCAGTCCGGCCCGGCCGCGGCGTTCTCCAGGGATGCATCAACGGCTAACTCAGACGCAGCGCTTCCCTCTGCCGGCTGGCGGGCCGCTGAGACTGCTGACCTGACCTTCCCCCCCCCCCCCTCCGGCCGGAGGACATACTAATGCCCCGCGTCCGGTCGCTCGGCCGAGCCTTATCGCAATTACGCCCGCTGCAGCCCACCTAATCAGGTCCGCTATTGAACTGGGCTGAAAGGACTAAAGAAAGCATAATTTCGGAACTCGCTTCGAGTCATGGACATCGCAGTGCTATAAATAGGCCCCGTTTCTGGGGAAGCATGCCAATGAATACCCAGCAGCTCTGTGGCGTTGGCCTCAGCCACACCCACATGCATTGTGGTTGGCGCTGTTGCTTCCTGGACAAAGGCCTGAGGTTCGATTTTTAGGCATGCTCCCATAAAGCATTCTACAGCCCAGGCAGACACCGCATCGCCGTGCAGAAAATATGTTGCCAGCTGCTGCAACACCGAGCTGTCAAACAAGGCATGGCAAGTCCGGTGACTGTGCTAGTGATCCAATGGCCGCACCAGTGATGCGGTGACTAGGTCAGTGACGTCGTGACTGCGTCAGTGATGCGGCCACCGCACCGGTGATCCGGTGACTGCGCCAGTGATCCGGTGAGTGCACTAGTGATCCGGTGGCCGCATCGGCGATGCGGTGACCGCGTCAGTGACTCGGGGCCCGCACCAGTGGTCCGGTGACTGCGTCAGTGACTCGGGGCCCGCGCCAGTTTGCCTTGGGAGACGGCCCGTGCGATGTTATCGTCCAATTTCCGGTTCAGGTTCAAAATTACTGACAACGGGCGCCGTCGTCAAGGCAGGGCCTCAGACGCGCGTCTGTTTAAAAAGAAGCCACGGGATTAAGCGTGGCCAGAATAAGCGTGACCAAAGCGGACAGCGTGGCACTTCAAGCAGTTTGGACGCCATGGCAAACACGCCAGCGCCAGAGCAAGGCTAGCGATCGAGACTCCAAAGGTATTTATGGTCCGACACGTAGCCATTTCAGTGCCGCTATATTATAAGCTCACGGGCCAGCCAGTAGGGAATACCGTGTCACTGCCCATGCGTTTGTTCTTGTATTTGAACAGCCAATCACAAACCTCAGCCGGCCAACCACCACAGCTAGCTCGCGTCATCAAACAAGCATGACCCAAGCGTGCCGCGCCGTGAAATCCATGGGAATGGTAACGCACTAGTATACAGGGTGGCAACCGAAGGGTACTTCATCAGGCGGAAGGCTCCCATAGCCTGCCCCTCGGTCCTGCTGTGTCATAACGCTGTTTGTCCAGCGTTATGGGCCAAATGTCATTTTCGCGGCTGAACAGATGGGTCACCGCACTTACTCGACCGTTATCCCTGTCGGTGGGCGGCAATGGAAGGGGGTGCCGCTGCCCCACCGCGGGCGGACGTCAGGCCTTTGTCTCCCCGCCGCCGGTGCAGTGGGTCGGCTACAAGATGGCCACTTGCCCTGGCCTTCATACCTGTTCCGGGCAGCGATCCGGCCAGGAGCGGATTAAGCACCTCTCTTAAAAGCTTCGCTCAGCCGGGCCATCCTATCGACAGAGCGATCGACAATTGGCGATCATCACCTCGTGGGTGCGTGCCTCGCCGCCCCGCGCGAGCGGCGCCGATGGCGCGGAATTCGGCGCCGGCCAGGCCCCTGCCGGCGGGCGGTTGAACCCGCGTACCCGGGGCCGCCGGCGGGCCGGTCGAGCGTGGTATCGCCGCGATCCGGCGGCTCGGCGCGCCGGCCACCGGACCCAGGCGGGCGCTGCCGCCGCCGCTGCTGCCGCCGCCGCCGCCGCCGCCGCCGCCGCCGCCGCCGCCGCCGCCCGGCTCGCGGCGGAGACCCGGGCGGGTGCGCGGCATGCGATAAGGACGGGCTCTGGCCATGACGAGGGGACGGTCTCTGGCGCCGGGGGTCAAGGCTCGACCCCACTGTGCGGGGTGGCGGGACGGCATGCACAGTGTCTGCATCGGGCGGGAGACTGCCGGTGTCCTTGGAGACACAAGAGCGGCACAGATGCCTGTGAAGCCCGCAGGGGGAAGCCTGGACGCCTGCAGTTGAAGCGCAGTGGCCATGGAAGACCGACGCGGTGTATGTGGTAGGAGGGAGACTGCTCTCCGGTCCGATCGGACCAGACACGTGGTGGGATGGCACGCCGAAAGTCGTACTTGCCATGGCGGGAGCGGGGCCCAGCCGGCTGGTGTCGGGACCACGCCACAGGACCGGCCGCGTCAGGCCCGGCCCTGTGCCCGGTCGCAGCGGCGCTATCGCGCTGGCCGGCGCCGCCGTCTCGGCCGCGGCTCAGTTCCGCTCCGCCGATTATCTATGGGAACAGAGAGCGCGCGCGCGGGCGGCGGCGGCGGCGGCGGCGGCGGCGGCGGACGCGCGCCGCTCCCCGGCCGACAGACCGTCCGTCATCGATGTACCGCCGCCGCCCCGCACACCAGCGGATAATATGGCCCGACCCAAGGCCGACGGCCCACCCCCGGGTCAACAGCCAGCGCTGTTGTGCACGGTTCATGGAAGAAAAGCCGGCTAATTTGCTGGCGGATCCAGCGTGGCGTTAGGGGCGGGCATGTTCCCTGATGCAATGAAAAAACAAAATCGTTTAATTGCTTTTCTCGCTGTTGTCGCTGCATTCGGAACTTGCTCTCTTCCAACCATGTAATGCTGTATTTACATTCGTGGCAAGCTTTGCTTTTGGGACGGCTTGGTGGATGCAGAGTTATGCTTCGCCCCAACATATTGCGAGACCAGGAAATAGCAGTGCAACCAATCAACGTCCATTAGACTTCCCCGGGCATCCACGCTGCCTCCAGGTCCAAACTGACTGTAGGTCCAGCAGTGCCGGAGACGGTGACTCAGAAGGACGTTTGTGAGTCATGCTGAAGTCGAGACGTCACTGAAAGGATCTTTGCCATATACAACCCGCCTCACTCTAATTCCCTCACGCTGTTAACGACCGCCTGGGAAGATCTGTGCCTATTCACAGGGCGAACGCTAGTCTTAACACAGGCATACGGCAGGTGTCCGAAGAACGAAGACCTGGGCGAGCCAAAAGTAGCCTATGGCGGCGTGCAGATTGCAATTTTTGCTTCGTTAAGCTGGATGCAGGTGCTGCCATGAACAAGAATTCGGCTTAAGCGGCATTGCCTGTTTAAGGGAACGCAGCACATGTCATCATGCGTCCTTTTATGGAGCGCTTGCGACTACAGAGGCCATATGGGCGCTCAGGGGATAAGACACAGCCGGGTTTTGAACCAGGCCCTTCCACATGGAAGCCGAGGACGCTAGCCACTCACTCTTTACGTCCCCCGGTGGTATTGTTCGTTAGGTCTCTGACTGTACGCCACATCAAGATGACTGTGGGCCTCAGCGAAAGGCTATCCCACAGCATAAACGCTATATCACGTGTAAGTACGCGATGCTTCTTAGAGATTTAATAATGTAGAAGAGTATAATTCTAATAGGCATGCATCCGACAGGTTGTGCTGATAACATAGGCATCAAAAACACACCTCTCCATAGTCTGAGTGAACCACACATTGAACTGCCGCTAGACAGGCTGAATGTATATAGTTCAGCTAGAATACCGCATAACGTCAAACTCCTCCATCGAGATTATCAACTCCACCGAGGCCAAAGAAACAATCACCAAGAAAAGAATGTGCCTTACAAAGTAACGGACAGGCAGTCTTTTGTGCGCAACACTGCGCACAAAGCCACCCGCGGACCACCCTGGTTTTCACCCGCCGGCGCGGCGGGGGCGTCCATCAGAGGAGGCGTCTCGACAGAAGGCCGGTGTTCGTGACCAGCCAGAGATCTGCACCACGCAGGGGCGGGCGGGATCTGCAGCGTCCGTGGGCCGACGCCCCGGCGGCGGCGGCTTGGAGCCGATGCCCCTGACGCCAGCTGCTCTATCCGGTCTTATTGCCGATGCTTGGTGAGGGTCGACAGCAGCGCTAACTTCGTACCTTTTTTGGATCTGCACAGCCTGATTTGTGGTTGCTATCCCGAAAGCACGACGAGGATTTCCGTTCGAAATTTCAGCTCGTGGTATTAATGAGTCAACTTGGACAGCGCAAATATTGGAAAAATCTCATCAGCCCTGTTCAAAACGCCGTCAATGATCATTAACCAGAGCCCCGAGTGTTTGCACAGTAAATTCATGCGTTGTTCCTCGGTCGGACTGGATTTTTGATCGCACGTCACCTCTACGTTCAGCAAAACCTCCCTAACCTCGTCGGTCTAAGCCATGGTGGCGAGGGTGAGGTCGTCGCCGCGAAGCATCACGACACTGCGCCCGGGACTGACCTGTGACGGAGACCTCCATGGCGGCCGTGATCGGCACATTGGTGTTGAGGCTGGGGGAGAGCGTGATGTCTCCCGTTGTGCTGTTGATCAGCAACAGGTTCGCGTTGTTGCCCGATCTCACGGTGTAAATCAGCTGAAACGGTCAGATGTGAGGTAAGGCTCATGCGTTCTCATAAATGATGTCATCATATGGTCACTCACGTGCTGATCTTACCCGAGTTGTGTGCTATATATCAGAACATCAGCGCAGTTTTCGCGCAAATTCGGACGGACGAAACGTTTAAAATCATCTGATAAATGCGGACATTTCTCTTGGAGCACAACAAACCGTCGAACGATAACCGTACTTCATCACAAGGGGCCCAAGACAAACAACATCCGAGCTTTCCTACAGCGTCATTTCTCATTATACACTTCGTCATAACAACCACTCGCTTTCCGGCGCATTTTATACCAGCAGCGCCGAGGAGCGAGGCCAGACCGACACCGTTCTGTGCCCGGCAGCAATCCGGGTCCCACGTTTGACAACAGCTTTGTTGGAATTCTGTAAAGCGGTGATTTGCGTGACTTGTGTTTAAAAGCTCTTGCGCTGTTTAACACGAGGATGATCTTACGGATCTGTTGGCATGTTTGCGCAAAATTTGGTTCGCATTGGGCGCAGGCAGGATCGCATGTGGATTATTCGTTTCCTGACCGAGATGGGTCACTTAGTCGGCATGCCAGCATCGCAATGCTGAGGAGAGGCGAGCGGCAGCTGCTCACAGCGGGACACCACGCCTGGTCCTTGTAACATTGCGCCCGTGAGCCGCCTCACCAAACTGGCATACGTTTGCCGGATGGGAGCCGTCTGTCGCTCGTCCGTCCGTGGACTCCTCACAACCCTCCGTGAACCCCTCCCGTTCGTCCGTGGGCCTCTTACATCCCCGTTCGTCCGTGGACTTCCCACTTCGTCCGTGGACACGCCCACATCCCCCGTGATCTCATCCCGTTCGACCACACCCACCACGGCGGGTTCATCACCGTGGCTTCCGCTGAACGATGGCAAACCCCGCATCGCCACCGCTGAATAAGGGCAGACCTCGCATCGCCACCGCTGAACGATGCCAGACCCCGTATCGCCACCGCTGAACGATGCCAGACCCCGTATCGCCACCGTTCAACAGGAGGAAAACGTTCTATCGCGTCCGGCAATTCCCAAAGACGAGCCGAACCAAATTGGAAGCACTCAAGGCGATATGTATCGGCCAATGCACCCATGCAGGGCGCCCACTCGGCAATGTTTCGATCTCCTGTGAGAGCCACGAGTCGACACGGCAGGTGAACTGACGATCGTTCCAAATCAACATCCCCACATGGTTATCGCCAATATGGGAGCGGATAAGCAGCTGACGCACCCTTCAGCCACAAGTAATAACGCCGTAGCACGCAGCAGCAAACAACAAGCCCCACCACAATAACACGCCGACGCACCCCACAGCGACAGATGAGCCGTGAGTCCAAGTAGGGACAGAAGGTCCACTAAGACGGCTTGGAATCAGCATCCCCGTCGGATAGTTGACAACAAGGAAACAAGCAGAAACCCTTACGGACAAAGATGGCAACACAGTACGGAAACTGTGCATAGAGATTGCGATTGAACAATCAGAGGAGCAAATGAGCTACACACTAGACTTCCTTAATAAGGCTGCTTCTGTGGTCCACCATGGCAAAAGACCGCGCATGTTGAGGACTGCCGGAAGCATTTTGTTGACCCTCTTGATGAGCGTTCTCCACACCGCCTCTGCCGCCGAAGTGTGCAGAGGTAAATGTCCCCCGCTGCCATATTCTAATTAACTAGCGACGATAGGACGCATCTAATTGCCATCAGGACTTCCAGGTGGAAAATGTACGATCTAGCTTCTCTGTTGCGGCTTGCATAGAGCTCCTTAGCCCGCGATACATTACCCGATTGCTTCACATATGACCGTTATGAGCCCTTCCGCAGAAGCCTAAACGCGCGCTCTCTAAACTTTTATCCTGCATGCTATCTCATGAATAAATCACATAAAAGTGTCGTAAAACACGGCTCCCGAGCCCGCCAGCCTTTCCCCGGCATTAGCATGCCTGATTCCGCCTGTGGGACAGCGGCGGCGGCCCTATGTCGGCACGCTTCCTCCAGCCATCGCACAGTCCAAGGGTGCGCGAGGGACGCGCAGGCATGCCGCCGTGCATACAACAGCCCGAGACGAATGTGGCGACATGTTTTTGTCGGCGTTTGAGTGCGCAGGTATTTAGCCAAGAATCTACGCAGAAACTTGGACAATATGCGTACGGCAGATGCGCGTCAGGTGTAGCGCGGATGCCAACTCGTGCGGACATGTCAACGACAATGTGATAACGGGACTAGTTAAGACAACGTCTCAAAGCAACTGTGATATGTGCGTTGGGTATGAAGTGTGCTCCAGCAAGAAACAAGCAGGAGGCAATCACACGATGAGTCTGCAAGTAGACCGCGATAAATGCAGTGACCCAAAATAATGAATCAAAACAATGACTAGACAATATCCCGTTGTTCTCCGAGCGGGGTCAACAGGCGTCAGGTTTGTGGAAGACCTGAGCAGCAGCCGAGGACAGTGCTTGTCTATGTTCACTATCACGTAAAACTCACGATAAAATAGTGTTGTTCGGGAGATGAAGGCAGCTCAAACAACTTTGTGACCAAAAAGCACAGCTAGCCGAGGTATAAGGTGGTTAATGGCAGCTTCGTGATTGATGTTCGTACACATGCAAGACGCAAAATCGTCATATTCTGTACCAGGTCGAGCCAACCCAGCACCGAGGCGACTTACCTGGTCCGTGGCATCCAGATCCACCGCTGGCACCTGACCGATGGGTCCGATCGGGAAAAAGTTCTTGTAGTTGTTGAAGATGATCTTAAAGTCACTGAGCGTCGGCGCATTGTCGTTCACATCCTGAACATTGACCTCCACCGTGACGTAGCTCTGCAGGGGAGGCGACTGGGCCAGCACCACCAGCGTGAATACCTTGGGCTCGGACTCGTAGTCGAGCTCGCGGCGCGTGAAGAGCTCCGCCTCCTGCGCCATCGGTTCGGAGCGCAGCTCGAACCCGTCAGAGTCCTCCGTCTCCACCATCGAGTACTCGATAAAGGCGTTGGCGCCGGCGTCGGGGTCGTGCGCGCGGATCTTGCCCACGGACGAGCCGACCGGCGAGTTCTCCAGCACGAACAGCCGCAATGGGCCCTCGTCGAACACCGGCGGCGAGTCGTTGACGTCGTCGACGTCGACGGTGACCGCGATCGACGTGGTCATAGCCGGCGAGCCGCGGTCGACGGCCAGTGCGACCAGCTCGTACTGCGCCACCTGCTCGCGGTCGAGCTTCCTGCTCGTGCGCACGATGCCCGACGCGGCGTCGATGGAGAAGGCGCCGTCGCCGTCGCCGCCCTCGGCGAACGTGTAGCGGATGCGGCCGTTCAGGCCCTGGTCGGCGTCGGTCGCGCGCAGCGTCAGCACGCTCGTGCCCACGCCCTCCGCCTCGCTGATGGACGCCTGATAACTCGACGGGCCGAACGCAGGCGCATTGTCGTTGACGTCGGTCACGAGCACCTCGACGTCGGTCGTGTCGGACATGGGCGGTGCGCCGTTGTCGCGCGCCGATACCGTGAGCAGGTAGCCGCTCTTGCGCTCGCGGTCCAGCAGCTGCGTGGTCACGATCTCGCCGGTGGTGGGGTTTATGGCAAACTCGGCCACTGGCTCGCCGGTGAGCGCGTACGTGATGCGCGCGTTCTCGCCCGAGTCCAGGTCGCTGGCCGACACGCCGAGCACGAGCGAGCCGACTGGCGCATCCTCGTACACGGTGGCGCTGTACGGCGTGCCCTGGAACTCCGGCGGGTGCGTGTTGGCGTCAGTGATGTTGATGTAGACGCTGGCCGAGTCGGAGCGGCCGCCGGTGTCCGTCGCCGACACCTTGAGCACGTAGCGCCGCTCCACCTTGAAGTCGAGCGGCTGCGTCAGCGAGATGAGCCCGGCGCCGTTCTGCGAGCTGATGCTGAAGCGGCCGCGCTCGTTGCCCTGCGTGATCTCGTAGTGCAGTTGCGAGCTCTCAGTCCGGGTCGTCCGCCTTGATGGTCATCACCGGCGTGCCGGGCGGCGCCGTCTCCGACAGCGACGTCTCGTACACCTTGGGGTCGAACACGGGGTCGTTGTCGTTCTGGTCCTGGATGGTGATGATGACGGTGGCGGAGGCGGACCGCGGCGGCTCGCCGCGGTCCGTGGCCACCACCTCGAAACGGTAGTCGTGCTTCTCCTCGCGGTCGATGGGGCGCGTGGTGCGCAGCCAGCCGGTGCTCTCCTCCACGCCGAACGGCATCGTCTCCACGTCGTCGCCGCGCAGCGTGTAGCCGATCTTGGCGTTGTTGCCGTCGTCAGCGTCGTACGCCTGCACGCGCACGATGGTGAATCCCTGCTGCACGTTCTCCTGCAGCGACAGCGACAGGGGGTGGGCCGAGTAGAAGCGCGGGCTGTTGTCGTTGACGTCCTGCACCGTCACCAGCAGGTTCGTCGTGTTGGAGCGGCTTGGCGAGCCGCCGTCTAAAATGGAGCACAAGACGGCGTCAGACGAGCGTGGACAGTGGAGAAGCTCCCATGACACAGCAGGACGTCAGCTGACCCCAAACGGCAGCCGTCTGAACAGTAAATACAGCACGACGACTCCGAGTAGCTGTCTGTAGTGTGCTGAGACTAACAACAGCCAAACAAGCACAGCAGCCGTCTGAAAAAGTATTAGGTGAAATCGGCCAGTCCAGGACAACACGCATTCCTCGGATTTTTTTTCGGGTGTAGTTTTACACTCGAAGCCAGCGGTTCGTTTCACAGTGCCGTAAATGAAGGCCAGTTGAAAGCCAAAATGATTACGGAAGACAGTGCAACATCATTTCATTTCAAAATTATCCGTCGTCACTTTTCCAGATCACTCGGACGTCTCCAGCACGGTCTGCATGAAGGACATGAATGTACCATAACGAAAGTTTCCGACGGCTCATTCGGGCGCGGTGGTGTTTGAAAGGTCATTTCCTGAACCTGAATGAAAAGTTCGATGACCTAATGATCGGCAACGCATGGAAGGAATCGACAATGGCGGGTGTGGTGTCAATGCGTAGAATTGCGCTCCACGAAATATGCCTTGAAAGCATCAGGAAGTTCTGGCTTCGATTGAACCCTAGACGTCAGCCCATGCACTACTCCTTGATTACTTCCTGGCCGTTATCGGTCTTATCGTGACCGGCCTCCTTCACCTTTTTGTGGTGCTGGCACTTCACGCTCCCGGCATGACCTCCACGCTAGTCCGACACACCCGTCCCCAGCGCTGCCCCAGACAGGACGGCAGCCTCGATAGCGTGACAGTGACCACTGCTAAATACCGCCACGAAACGAGCATCGCCTATCGACCCGGTTGCGCGCCGTCGGCAAACACAGCATTCAGCCGTACCGCTGCAGCCCGCCCTGTCCACCGAGCGTCGACCCCTGACCTCCGAGCCCGTCCGGACCGGTGGACCCGCCGCGGCTCACGCGCCGACAGCGGCCGTGGACAGTGCGTGTGCGGGCGGAGGAGGGGGGGGGGGGGGGGCGTCATCGGTACCGATTTTGTGTCGCCCGTCCGGGCCGTGGAGGGGCGCGGGTCACCTGGATCAATTGGCAGCGGGCCGGTAACAAGGACGGCTGAGTCACGCCCGCAGGGACGCCCGCGGAACACCCGCGGGGGATTCGCGGTCGATACGGCGCCTCGCGGCCGCGCGAGATTGTCTTCGCCCGCCCGCCCACCCCGCTCAGATGTCTGTGTCGGCCGCGGCACGGCTCGCCTCGGACGCAAACGGCTTCCGTTTGGATGGCGCGAATCCCGCCCAATGGCACTGGCAGCTTCGGCGTCACGGAGCCGGTGCAAGCAGAAAAATGCGGCCATCACGAGGTGGTCGTCACGCGAGGGATGCCATGCGAATCGTCACTGCGCCATCATTTTTAGAGTTGCATCAGCGTGGAGTTTTCATAGCTATCAGCTCCTGGAGCCGCGCAGTGTCTGCCCATAACATAGTGGGGTGATCATGTAAAATGATCATGCAAATTGTGACGAAAATCAGAGTCACTGAGAAGGCGCCCTCGGGGGAATCTTGGGTTAACTCCATTGGTGCTGGTAAAGGAACACTATGCCATGCTAATGCGATGCAGACGTCGTCATGCAGATCGGATATTCGGTTGTTGATTATGACCTAAACTATTTCAACCATTGGGGTCAGGATCCTACGAACACCTACAAAAACGACTGGGTAAACTCCCGAGCCAATCCTTCCATCCCCATAGTATTGATGATGACCTTCAACAAAAAGTCAAACGAACACTCCCACAGCGTATACGCTTGCGTGTTGGAAGATATACCCTGGGCCCTGATGACGAGCCGGTAGTTTCTGATGGTCTCGAAGTCCAGAGCGCGTACGACGGACACGTGGCCAGTCAACGTATCGATGGTGAAGTGTCCCTGGGTGTTGCCTCCGATGAGGGCGTACCGTATGGCCGCATTCTCCCCAGCGTCACGGTCCGTCGCCCTGGAACAGAGGCACAGCGGCGATCAGAAGAGGCGCCGCACGCCGTAACGGAGGTTTTGTCGTTGCGAAGGGAATGCCAGCAACAGCACGACAGAAATATCACGCTCACGAAAACTCAGCCGAGGCGATCAGTTAGCCCACCAACACGCGTAACAGGAACCAAGCAGTAAAGCCGCTAAGTTGTGCACAGCATAGGATGGGGTTGCAGAGGGTTACATGATGCTGATAACGTGGTGGTTTACCTGCGCGTCTGGGAAACCTGAGGTACGGGGTTCGGTTTCTGTGCTGTCAGTCCTTCCTACCAGGGTGAGAGGCAGGTGAAGCCATATAGCCTCAGCGGATGATTGCTTTACAAACCCCCAATGACACACACGCAGAGGGTTATTCAACAAGTTCGGTTATCAAATTCGACAAAAAATATGCCCACAGCGCATTTTCCGTCTCGGATCGCCAATCAAGCGGCATACAACTTCTGTGCATATTCTTTGACGTACAGCTAACCAGCCTCTCGGTACCACTTTTAATAAATTAGTGCTGCGTAAGTGATTCCTGCTGTAACAAAGGATAGCAAATCCACTGAGGAAATAGCAAGAGCGAGAAACAGCAAGGCAAACCAATGTATAACTGTTTCTTTCCATACCACGCACCATGGTTTAAGTTATTTTTCCAGTTTTGGACACGAACTATCTCCCTTCCCCTCTTATGCACCAAATCATGTCTGGTACACACTTTGCCTTCGCAACGTCCCCGAAAACCGGGTAGCGCGCTGAGGTCGACAACAGGTCATTTCGAAACCCATCGGTGAATACATATTGCGCCGGCCCACGCGGCGGCGGAGGCGGCGTCTCCCAGCGGGCTCGAGCTGGCCTCCCCGTTCATCCTGCTTGCGGCCGGTGTCAGACAGAGGTCCCCGGAGGCTGGGCCTCTCCCCCCTCACCCGCTGGTGATATGGCACCACTGGTGCTGGTGTCTGCGACCCGTCGGTTCAGTTACCAGACACCGAGCTGCCAATATTGACACTGAGAATGGCTCAGTGCAGTGGTCCGTATCCGGTTCCAGCGAACACCCCGAGATCGCACTAGATGTCCACGTCAACAACGCGACGTCACCAAAAGCGGTCCGCAGCAGACCTTGAGGTCAGGAAGAGCGGTCCATAGTGGGCCCCGAGGTCAGGCAGAGCGGTCCACAGCTTACCTCGAGGTCAGACAGAGCGGTCTTTAGCGGACCTCGAGATCAAGCAGAGCGGTCCAAAACGGACCTCGAGGTCACACAGAGCGGTTCACAGTGTACCTCGAGGTCAGACAGAGCGGTCCGCAGCGGACCTTGGGGTCAGACAAAGCGGTCCATAGCGGACCTCGAGGTCAGACAGGGCGGTCTAAAACGGACCTCGAGGTGAGGCAGAGCGGTCAACAGAGGATATCAGGGTCACACAGGGCCGCCGCGGGACTGGACACCGTGCAAAACGGCCTAGTCACGGCGCTAACAAGACAAACCAGACGGCAGGCGGGACTTGACAGGCCGAGGCCCCGGGGGAGGAGGTGGACTCATCCTGGACTGGGGAGAACAAGGAGGGATTGGGGAGGACGGGTGTGGGATCACGAGGAGAGGTGGGGAGGACAGGAGAATGGGGAGGATAGGGACAAATAAGGATGAAATGAAGGTATGGAACGGAGGATGGGGAATTACGAGGGCTGAGAGATGTGTGGGGGACGGTGAGGGATGGGAGAACTGGGATGGACGAGTACTAGAGTGACAGAGACATTGAACGCCGGAGTCAGTACTCGGGATCTTTCGACGGTTTGTCCTGACGCTGGGCGAGCCTGAAACGCCCGTGGTTCTCTCTAAACGCGCTGCATAATCTTCACCTTCCGTGCGCCCTCCGCATGTCCTCAAAAATCGGCGAAAGGTGGTCAATACAGAATTCGGGAGCCCGATTACGTTGCCATGGAAACACCCTACGATCTTCCCAACGCGCACGCAAGGCTCCCAGTGTCATCCTTCTGTTATTGGCAGCACAGCGCGCATGGCTGGACTCATATGAGAGCATGATGCATGGTGGTCACTCGCAGTCGACGGGAGCGCTTCATTACGGTAAAATATATGAACTCGGCGTGAGGACGCTCAGTAAGGTGAGCCGCGGCCCACTATTTCACCCGTCTCCAGTGTACAGGGAGTGGAGCTAAAACGCCTCTGCCCGAAAGGCTGGCTGTGCTACCACCGACAGAAAATGCATTATGCATTATTATGCACGGCGTCTGAATGTTGTTTTTACATGAAGTTTGCTGCCTGGTCTCAGTGAAAATCTTCTTACATTGTTACGGTGGTTTGCGGTGCCCGTCTAAGCCAGCCGACCATTGTGTTTTCGCAGCAGTGAAGCGAATCACCTCACGCCTGCAGAAGGCCGCCGAGAGTGTCTGCAGCCGTGGAAGCGGCGCCGCCAGACGGCCCGGACTGGTACATAGACTGATCACCGCTGGTGAACAGCGCCAGCGGGACAGCCAGAGGATAAGTGACACTGCGTGCACAAAAGCAGCGCAACGACGTTTTAACCGAGCCCTGGAGCGCGGAAGTCTTCTGACATTTAGAATAGTCATGTAAAGCGAGTTTTAATCAAAGTCTTTCCCTTCATGATTTCTTAGAAGCGGATATACAAGGCATTGCAAATAAACAATATCGTTTAACTAGTTACATCGGGAAAGAGCGTTCGCTCACTTGCTCTATGACGGTTGCCTGGTAGATATACCAAGCATCCCGTCTTGCGCCGCTCTTCCCGTTCTTAACTGAATTCAACGTCCTCAGTTCTCGTTATGCATTTAAAAAGAGCATTGCATCAGCTGGACCAGCACCCGTAGACGTAAAGAACCTGGATTCGGGACATTTAAATGGAGCGAATAAATTCCACGATACGAATTACAGCCAGTACCAGCACACCACGAGGTCATATTTGAGGTGACATATAGTTATGCACAGCTGCTGGCTGCTGCGCGAAATGTGTCAGGGGGCGTACTGCTAAACGCACTTAAGCGCGTCCTCCGGCACCAAATGGCCTCGAAGATGAGGCTTTCCAAAAGCAGCTTAACAGCGAAAGCCATCGGTAAGAAGATTAATTTCGAAATATGGTGGGAGGCGCATTTTTAGACGTACATGGTCTTTGGATGAGGACCTGACCGTTTGGTGAAAATAAGTGAGACATATTACACAAATGATAGCTGTGTGAGTGAATATCGAGACATCACTCGCAAACGGCGACAAGTCGTTCCTCCAACCGTCGACTCCAAGTTTGAAGTATTTCCGCACCATCTGGGCACCTCACGAAAATCTTAAGACCATGAAGCAATACCTCACTGACGTATGTGCTGACAGTCATCCCTATGCAGGCGCTTCTAGACTGATGTTTCACCCCAGTAGCCCACATCTAATCTTCGCGCCCGCCGCCGGCCGGTGAGGTGCCCACCTGATCTGGATGATGACCGGGTTGCCGCTCCAGTCGAGGTCCTCGGGCACGCTGACGCTGTACGACTTCTCGCTGAACTGCGGGTAGTTGTCGTTGTCGTCCAGCACGTTGATGACCACGCTGGCGGAGGCCGAGCGGCGCGCCGTCGGCAGCGCCTGGTCCGTCGCCTGCACCGTCAGCTGGTACGACTCGTGCTCCTCCCGGTCCAGCGGCAGGCGCGTGCTGATGATGCCCGTCTGGCCATCGATGCGGAACGCCTCGTTGGCGCCCTGCGGGTTCAGGATCGAGTAGGTGATGGCGGCGTTGTCGCCGAGGTCGGCGTCGGTCGCGCGCACGGTGAGGATGGTGGAGCCGATGCTGGTCGACTCGCGCACGGACGTCTCGTAGTCTTCCTGCTCGAAGGCGGGCGTGTGGTCGTTGGCGTCCTCCACGGTCACCTGCAGCGTGGTGGTGCCCGTGCGCGGGGGCTTGGCGCTGTCGGCCACCGTCACCTTGAAGTAGTGGGTCGGCATGTACTCGCGGTCCAGCTCCGCGAGCGTCGTCACCGTGCCCGTGCCGGCGTCCATGCTGAACATGCCCTGCGAGCGCGAATCCAGCACGGCTACCATCGAGTAGGTAAGCGGGCCGTCCTCCGGGTCCTTGGCGGCCAGCGTGGTGACCAGGTAGCCCCGGTCGCGGCCCTCCGGCACCGACACCACGTACGAGGGCCGGTCGAAGAACGGGCTCTGGTTGGCCATCTCGCGGCGGATGCGCGTCAGCATGTCGCCCCGCTCGGCCACGTACCGGTGGAAGAGCACCATGAGCGTGTGCGCGTGCGACTCCTGCTCGGGGTCGGCGCAGTCGAGCTTGAAGTACACCACCACGCGCCACAGCGGCTGGCGGATGCACTGGTCCTTCACCGACACGACGTCCTCGCCCTGCCGCTCGATGGCGAAGCGCGGGTCGGAGACGCGCTGGAAGCTGAGTCGGCAGTGGCGCGCTGACACCGGCAGCAGGTCGCGGAAGCGCACCACGAACTGACCGCGCCGCAGGCAGATCTGGTTCTCCGCGCCGGTCGCCGGCAGCGCCACGGACACGGCGCTGCGCGATCCGTGGCTGAGGAACTCCTCCACCACCTGGCGGCGGTTGTCGGCGCACTCGGCGCCCACCACATACACGCGCACCGCCATCGACGCATAGTCCACGTGGTGCGGCGCGTCCGTCCACGAGTCCACGTGCAGCAGGAACGGGTTGGGAAAGAATAGACCGTCGCACCGGATCGGCCGCTTCACCAACAGCTGGCCGGTGCGCGGCGCCACAGACACCAGCCGCTGCACGTATGACGGCGTCCTGTTCGGGTCGATCCGGTAGTGGCGGGCGCCGCTCAGCCCGCTCTCGAAGATCACCGCGCCGACCGGCGTGGAGGCGGGCACCACCACGAAGTAGGCCCGCGCCCAGCCCGCCAGCAGCAGCAAACAGAGCGCCGGCAGGGAGCGCATGGCTCGGCCGCGGCCGCCGGCCCGCGCCACTCTCCGCCCTCGCTCGCACCGGCTCGCTCCGAGCGGCGGCGTCCGCGCGGCGCAGCGGCGCTCCTCCCGAGCGGTGTCTCGCACGACTGGCGGTCGACCGGCGGCCGCCGACGCCGCGTCGCCGGCCGCTGTTCGGCGCCGCGTGCCGCCTCCCCGCGCCCGGCTCCAGGTGAACGGCGCGTTGCGTAATTGGGCGGACAGGTCGGCGGGGCGGCCGGCCGGGCCGGCGGCGCCGCCGCGGGGCATGCCCGCCGTGTGAACCGGCCCGTGGGGTCTCCAGCCGGGCCCAACGGACGCTAATGCCCATTATAAAGCAATTACCGTGATGTTATCGGGAGGAGGGATAAGTTCGGGGCGACGCGGTCCAGGCTGCAGGGCAGTAATGGACACCGGCTGGCTGACAAAGTCGGGCTGATGGCGCCGGCGTGACTGTCGAAAAAAAGAATCTGCTGCGTCCGCTACAGTTCAAAATAACCGTCCCACGCACACCACTTGCGGTGTTTTTTCTGAGATCGGACGATAAACACCATGCCAAAGACTTTAAGAGGTCCTCGGCTGGTGAACTTGCTCTGTTTGTTTACCCACAGCTAGAAACCAAGCGCGAGTTCCAGAGAAAACACTTATCTCCGGAAACACTAATCCGCCGGCGGTAGACCCTGGCCAGGACGGCCGTGCAACGCATCGCACTGCCTAAAAACAGATTACCAAAACAAAAGACACCGTTACCGTTTCGGATAGCCATTTCAACTTGCCAAATCGGATTGTTGGACCCTCAAATGGGCATGCTGTCCTCTAGTTTCGCAATGGCCCCTGGACTACCGATAGGGGCTTGTGCTCTGACTGTATCCAGTAACTTTGGGAAGGCACGTGGGATCTGTAGTGCGAGGTCTGCGAACTGCGAAGCAGACTGGCGTATCCGGGTGAAGGGTCTTCTTTTAACGGCGCTATTACAGCTGTAAAGACTACCCAGGAGCCCATACTCCTGACAAACGGCCCAACCCTGTCGTCGGGACTGTGCGTTGCCTGGTAACTTCAGCGGGCTCTTTGCCATGATGGAGATTGTCTTTAGACTTGGCATTTTCTTGCCAAAGAATCACTAGAAATTTGGCGTAACTGAATGTGACCAATCCATGGATCAGCGGAGTGTACCGGTGTTATTACAAAACACCAGAAGTTGACGTGCATTGATTTGAAGACATAATTCTGGCGCCAAAGACGGTTCAACAACCCGCGACTCTCGACGTCCTGCTTTTTCCGACTTCACGCTGAAGCAACATCGCAGGTGCGCAATGAGCTAAGTGTACGAAAAGCATCTCACTTTACTTTTAGATACAATAGTCGATGCATTAGAATATCCCATATAATTCACATTATGTGCTTTCAGATCAGCTAAGGATCGCTCGCACCATCGGAAGCAGAACCATGTTCTGCATGCATTGCATATATGCATGTAGGTGAACGCATGAAAATGTGGCGGAAGCCCTTTTTACTCTGCTTCCGTTGTCGCAGTGGTGTATGCCGGAATTCACAACGGAAAAAGTAAGCATACAAGCATCCTTTAGGAAGCTAACTTTGTGCGTCACAGCACGCCGGCACGCAACGCATGCTGCACATCGTAAAACTGCCCCGCATGTTCTCGCTCTGTTTAACGTTACGTGTCTGCATCGAGTTTCAATAGTCAACACGTATTTCTGCACCTTTTATTACACGTAGGAGATCATATGGGGGAGCGGCGTGCCCGGGAACTACGTGAGTACTCCACTAACGTTTTGCTAGCAGCACCAAATTGGCAAATACGATATCAATTAGCCGTATGCGTGCATGAAATGCATACGCGCGCTGCTATTTGTAACAGATCCATCTTTTGCACTCATTTTTGCACACAACACCAAACAGAGAAACACTAATTATTTAAGGGATTGGATAAATATACGGTTTCAATTAGATCATGGGCTGAACTAAGCTTGATGGAGAAACCTCTCAGACTCAGAGGTACGGATTTGAAATGGATGGTTGCATTAAAATGGTGGCTGGCACAAGTGGACTGAAGAAGACTGAAGAGTTGCTGCCAATTCAGTTGCCGAAAATGTCCCCGTGCATGCTATATTCGCACTGGATTGTTCGAGTCAATTACCTCCAAATGAACAATGATTATCCAGCAGCTGGAAGGTGATTGTCCTGCAGGCATGACAGCTTTCAACTGAAGAAAGCAGTCCTAACTTTTTCGATCAGAAACGAAAATCTAAAAAACAAACATTGATAGTCCATTACTCAGCGGCTGTTTCAAGACAAACTGCAGTTGAGTGTCACAATATCCTTTTTTCTCGAAAAAAGAGACAGCATGTTAGCAGGGAGCACGACGTTGTTTGAACGCACTGCGGCAAGTGCTAGGACCAGTGTGGCGCCACATCTTCAGGCAGTCTATGTGTTAGCGGCAAGGAGGTAGCTCGGCCACGGCTTAAACCGGACGGAGATGCGTGAACATGCTGCGGACTCTCCTTCAAATAATTTGCGGTAGTTAATTTGCGGCAGTTAGGTGTACCGAGGTGGACTAGGCCGATTTAAAATTTGGAAAACATGTAAATAGCTGGTGGAAGTGATGTAAGATTGGCCGGCTGGATTAACTTGGATTCTGAAAATCCAACGCATGGAGAGCTTTGAGACTCATGTTGCTCTAAGTGAAGTTGGTGTGCACTGATGCATTGCTTCTGTTGTAAGTCAGTGTGCAGAAGAATGACATATGGAGACAGCTAAAGCTAAAATGCGAAAAATAGACAATGCAGTGCTTTATGTGGCAGACTGATAAATTTTAGTCACCTGGATATAGCAGGCTCCAGTTGTTGTTTTACTTTCTAAAGCCTTATTTTCATACTGCATACTCAAAACAGCATCGTTACATAATATTCTAGAAGACTGCATAGATATTACCTTATTTTAGGCCGCAGAGCTGTTTCGTTATTTGGATAACCTCCCAAATTGTCCTATTCTTACTTTCACCCGTGGGCTGTGTAATTTCAGCCGACACCTAAAATGGCGATGGTACCGTCAAGCCATGTACTCAGCACTTACACGCAGAGTAGTTTTGACTATCGTGGCAAATAATAACCAAGAAAAGGAATTGCGAGGCTTGACAAGGAAAACCTACGAAACACTGACAGAGCTGAAACATTTTGAAACCATCATCATCATGGAACACCTTTATAAAGCTGACATGGAACATCTTACTCAGAGTCATTGCCAAATGAGTCCAAAATTGGAAACTGATGCTGAGCTATCCCAAAGTTAGGAAAAACCAAAAGCACTGAAATCTTCCGCGACCTCACTGTGGCTTCACTCGAGGCCTCCGGGTTGAGGCCTCCGTCTGACTGGCTCGACGATTTCATACGGTTGCGCTGTACACACCTTTCATCGATGACACGACATCAGAGAAGCTGTTTACATGGCGCACTAACCCATAAATGGACGTAAGAAAGTAGAAAGATCTAAGAAAGAAGATATTAAATATAGTCACAAGCAAGTAAAAGTAAGTAACAGTTGAGAGGCCCGCCTTCAAAGTAGGCAAAAGAAAGAAGTAAACACTAATAGAATACACATTTTGGTTTCAGTATCGGAAAGCCATTCGGAATCACCGAAGGAATTTGTTAAAATACACAACTTTCCGAAGTCAAGAGAGCTACTTTCTCATTGCAAATAAAGGGTAAACACGCCATTTGTAAGCGTGTCGGACTATGATATTTGCATTATTGCTCTTTTTTACAATAATGTCATGATAAAATAGTGTTCATTAGCAGTAATCATAGCAATTGCTCAAAACTCTTGAAGAAAAGATTCAGTCTTGGCTAGTCAACGTGACAGCAATGAACTGCGGGTCAATGCTACGTTTTCATAGCACTTAGTTTAAACTGAAGTGCTTAAACTTGGTTAAAAGACGCTTCGACGTCTGCAAGCAATTTATTTATGCGGATGGGTTTCCAGGGGGATTGAAATAGTTGGTCCCGTGGCATTTAATTGGACGCGTCAGTTGACAGTGTGAGACGGTCGCCGTAGGCCGGGCATGGCTTTCTACTTTAAAAGTTCTGCTATCTAACTTTCACTATGGGCACCACTGGTTGGTGTTCGTGCGTCCTCAGCAAATATCACATCTCTAGCAATGTTTCAATTCCAATCCACAGAATATCAGCCGTGAAATCCTCTCACGTTGCAAGCCATGTGGGAAGGGCGTTGATGAATGCCCGAGGCGAACTGTGCTGCTGCGCTGCACTGCTAAACAAACGATGCTGATGCAGGTCGTCTGAGCTGCGAGTCATATACTCGTCATAGGTCTAATACCTCCATGGGACTGTCTGGCATGCTGCAAGATCCTCTCCACTTGGACCCTGAGTTAGAGTGAGCTTGCTTCCGCTTCAGCGGTAGCGATTCGACCTCTGATTTATATTGGCTTTGGTTCTGGTGACGCGTCTCGTTCGTATCATTATGCCCACCATCTGCTCTCCTGAGATGACGGAAACGTGTAGTCTTGAGCGTTGTCAAGAAAAAGGTTAGTTTTTGTGCTGTATTTTACACATATCACAATCACACTCAAGCTAAAACGAGGCATTAGTCGAAACGCGTTTGTTGTCAATAAATCTTCGTCATATGGATGGCATTGAACATTAGCCTATGTCGATAAATAGTAACTTATGCCAGAAAATTAAACTGATCAAACATCGAGTAATGTCATCAATAAGGTTCTTGCTTATCTTGGTGAAATGGCAAAAAATTATATGTGCGAGGCATGTGTTCAAAAGCAAATGTGAAAAACCTCGTAAATCCGCGGAACATCAAGGTATTGGGCCAATTGTATGTGGATTTGCCTTCTCTCATCCGCATACCTGCCATAAAAATGTGGGGAGCTAACTGTTTTAGATTTTTAGAATGGAATCGATTAGATAATTGCTGCCATCTAAAAGGTGATAACTTTAAAGCTCTCCACATTCCACGCTTAGATATCCCTCACTATTTTCAGTTACAAACATG